CGTTGCTGTCATGCATCTAGAATTAGGTCTGTATTATAATTTCTTATAACATTCCCGGAACAACTAGCGTATGCCATAAATAATAGATGTTGACCACCAAAGGCCGATTAGAATTTTCTTAAGAGAATCAATCTTCTAAAATTTGATGGTCAGGGTAATTGTTGTGCTGATGCATCATTGACTGCGGTTAAGAGTTTTTTCTCTTCCTAAATGGGCAATTATCTTACAAAATGAAGATATTTCAACAAGAATAGCATAACTTCTTCTCAACATCGTTCCTTTTACATTACTTTCCTGTAATTTCTAGCTCGTCTTCTTCTCCTAGTGTGTGTAGTTGCTTGTTTTTTCAAAGTAAAAAAATCTTTATTCCTTGACGAACATCAATGAATCATCTTTGAATTTTGATTATTGAAGTTGTCGTGAGCTGCTATTGAAGTTGTTACCGAAGTCGTCTTGGGTTGTTATTGAAGTAGTCTTGGAGCAACTTCGAGCCTTTTTGGAAGTTTATCCTGCAGAAGATTAAATTTTCGATTTAAGGTATGACTTCTAATTCTAACATTCTTGTTTGGTTCAGCGTTGGATTTGGACTTCACATAATTATAAGTGTTGATTTATGCTTTACTTATATGACTTATTCATAGTTACCATCTTGACTGTTACACTTATGATAGGATGGATAGATCGTGGATGACACTTAGAAAATTTAGTCCCGGCTATATAGAAGGAGTTAAATCTTTCATGCGTTTTGTCGAAGATCACATTGATCACGATAGTGATATTCGTTGCCCATGCAACCATTGTCTAAATGCTTTCAAGTTATCTAGAGAGGCAGTTTTCGCACATTTGATGATGAAGGGGATCAACTCTTCATATACAACTTGGATATATCATGGAGAATCAAGTGATTCTCGCATGGGTAGTGACAATGATGTCATTGGTAGTGATTCTTCTTTTGATGATGAAGAAGAAGATTCTTTTTTTGAATTATTTGATGATTGTGCTGATTTTATCAACACGGGAATCAATAGTGAAGGTGACTTCACTAACCATGGATATGAAGACTTTATTCAATTGTTAGGAGAGGCAGAAAAGGAGTTATATCCAAATTGTGACAAATACACAAAATTGTCATTTATTGTGAAGTTACTTCACTTAAAAGTGTACAATAAGTGGAGCAATAAGTCATTTGACATGTTGCTAAAATTGTTGAAGGATACTCTCCCAGAGGGTAATTTAGTTCCTGATTTCTATTATAAGGCAAAAAGTGTATTGAGAAGTCTAGGATTAGCATACATTCCTATTCATGCATGTCTATATGACTGCATATTGTATTGGAAGGAGAATCAAGAATTAGAAGCTTGTCCAATATGCAAAACTTCTAGGTGGAAGGTGAATGACGGCAAGAGGAAGAAACTACCATGGAAAATATTACGTTACTTTCCATTAAAACCTAGACTCCAAAGGTTATTCATGTCGAGCAAGACTGCAGCAGAAATGCGGTGGCATAAAGAGAAGCGAAATGATGATGATGACGGCTTAAGACACCCTGCTGATTCAAAAGAATGGAAAGATTTTGATCTTGAGTTTCCATGGTTCGCTGAAGATTCTCGTAATGTTAGACTTGGTCTAGCTAGTGATGGGTTCAATCCTTTTGGTAACATGAGTTCTTCATATAGCATGTGGCCAGTTGTTCTCACACCGTATAATCTTCCACCTTGGATGTGTATGAAAGAACCATACTTGTTTATGAATTTACTAATACCAGGCCCTTCAGCACCTGGCAAGGATATGGATGTTTATTTGAGACCTTTGATAGATGAGCTACAAGAGTTGTGGTCCGTGGGGATGCAAACATATGATTCCAAATCTAAAGGAACCTTTCAACTACATGCAGCAGTTTTGTGGACGATCAATGATTTCCCAGCTTATGGAAATTTATCGGGATGGAGTACAAAAGGGTATTTGGCATGCCCTGTTTGTAATGAGGATACATCATCGCTAAAGCTCAAAAGCAAGATAGGCTATTTGGGTCATCGTCGTTTTTTACCCATTCCTCATAGGTGAAGAAGGGATAAGAAATTCAACGGCAAATCTGAGACTCGACGTCCTCCAAAGATTTTATCTGGTGATGAAGTTCATGAACAATTGGGAAATGTAACAGAAAGATTTCCTGGGAAACATCCAAGGACCTTCAACAAGAGGAAGCGCTCTTCAAATGACTTGAATTGGACAAAGAGGAGCATATTTTTCACACTTCCGTATTGGAGGAAATTGAAGTTGAGACATAACCTTGATGTCATGCACATTGAGAAAAACATATGTGACAATGTAGTTTCCACAATGCTAGACATAACGGGAAAAACAAAAGATACTATTAAAGCTAGACAAGATCTTCAGATGATGGGAATTAGGGAGGAATTGCATCTTGTTAAGAGAAGTGATGGAAACTATGATATGCCTCATGCATGTTATGTCATGACAAAGGAGGAGAGGAAGAAATTTTGTCAGTTTCTAAAAGATGTGAAGTTTCCTGATGGTTATGCTTCTAACATATCCCGTTGTGCCAATGTTGTTGATGGAAAAGTTTCAGGCTTAAAAAGTCATGATTGTCATGTCTTGCTTCAAAGGTTATTGCCTGTGGGGATTCGAGGGAGTATGAGTGGAGCTGTTGTGAGTGTCTTAGCTGAATTGGGAGAGTTCTTTCATCGGCTGTGTTGTAAAACCTTAAGTATGGAGGCATTGGATAAGCTACAAGATGACATTGTCACTATCTTATGTAAGCTAGAGACGATCTATCCTCCTGCTTTCTTTGATGTTATGGTGCATTTAGCCGTTCATCTACCTTATGAGGCTATCCTTGGTGGTCCCGTGCAATACCGATGGATGTATCCCATTGAAAGGTAAACTGATTTTACCAAGAAATGAATGGTTACTTTATAGATATCTAAGTTATCATCTAAATCTAGCCTTTCGGAAAATTTTGTGCTAGGTTTTTGGGAACTTTGAAAGGATTTGTTCGCAATAAAGCTCATCCCGAAGGGTCCATCGCTGAGGCATATGTTGTTGATGAGTGCTTAACATTTTGTTCTATGTATCTCGATGGAATTGAGACTCGATTCAATGCACCTGAGAGGAATTGCGATCAAGATGAGCATGGGAATCTATCTATTTTTTCGTCTAAGGTGCGACCAATCGGTTCCTCGAACCATTTTACAATGGAGCTTAATAAGTTAAACATGGTCCATTGGTATGTGTTGAGTAACTGCGAGGAAGTCCAACCATACATCGAGTAAGTTCATTGATAATTATGAACCTCATTATTAAGGGTCGTCATTAAAATCTCACATATGCGTGCTAAATCTTTCCAGCGAGCATTTACAAACAATTGATGAAGCTGATCCGCTCAAAAAGCAACAAATTCATAAAAAGCAATTCCCATTATGGTTTAAACAACAGGTTAGTTAAAAGTTCCATTTCTGTAAAACCATTAATTGTCTTTTATGAAATAATGAAATTGACATCTACGTGCTTTGCCTGCTGTAGATGACAGGTTTATTGAAATCAAAGAAAGATGATGAGTGCACATTGGCTTTACATGCATTATCTTGTAGTCCTCGGCCTGCTGTTAAGAAGTATGATATTTGCATTGTTAATGGTGTTAGATTTCATACCAAGGCTGTAGAGCGCCGACGTAAGAGTCAGAATTGTGGTGTTCTTGTGGAAGGCGATCATTATGGTGAAGCAATTGAGTTCTACGGTGTATTAATTGACATAATCCAACTGGATTATGTGAGAGATAACCATGTGTATCTCTTTCAATGTGAGTGGTTTGATGTCGATAGTCACAAGTCAAGAATTATAAGGGATGGTGCGATTACTAGTATTAAAGTTGATCGATTTTGGTACTCCAGTGATCCATTTGTGCTTGCCACTCAAGTGAAACAAATATTCTACACCTCTGATCCTAAAATGGGCTTGCATTGGAGAGTTGTGCACAAATTTCATCATCGTCATATTTTCAGCGCAATGCTCGAGGATGACAACATCATAAATGGTGGCGATGACAATGACAATGATGCATATCAGGAGGAAGAGTTGACCAATGTTCCAAGTAGTTTAGTGAATGAAAATGATGCTGACTTATTGTTACAAAGAGATGGTGATTCTCCCATGGTGATTGAGAGTAACAAGGTTGATGGTACTCAAACATCACGTAAAACAAAGGTGCACCGAGCTGAACAAGTAGAAGAATCTCATCAAGAAAGTGTTTATGGAGAAAAGTATCAAGACTTTACTAGCTCTGAAGATGAGCTTGATGCATCTCTACATTGTATTAGTGATGAAGAGGAAGACTGCAACATGGATGGAGAATAGGATTTTTCTGCTCATTATGATAATGACGTTTGATTGTGTGTTGAGTTTGAAACCTTATTTTATTGGAAAGCTTGAAACTTTATATATTTATTTATGCATTTTATTTTATTATTATATGATTTGATTGAATTTCTATCTCAAAGAATATTTTCCCTTTATTTGCGGTTATCTATATTAACAAATTGTTGAGCTACTCTTACAAAGATGGTGGTTTATTTGATCTACAGGTTGTTGAGATGGCACCAGGTGATTCACAAGCTAAAAAGAGTGGCTTGAATAAAGCTAAAAAACCAGGTCCATTGTCAGTTTCACCCGTTATGAAACGTAAAACAATATCAGATGCCCCAATACCATCTTCTGAACAAGGTAAATCAAACTGATCTAGTGACAGTAGTTACTTATTTAAGTTTAAATAAAATTTTTTCCATATGAAACTAGTGATGGTTGCATGTGGTATATTTGGATCATTATGAAACTGCATTGTTGCTGCATTTTTTTCAAATATAATATTTGTCTGATAGTGTTTCACATGTTATGAACTTTATAGGAAAACAAAAGGCTGCTAGTTTATTTAGCAATATGAAAGGACACCTTTCTACTCGTAGACAAACATTATTAAGTGCTGTCCAAGAAATGCACGTTGATGAAACAATTAACCTGATGCTGCCAAAATGTGCTCTTTCGAAAGGACCAGCTTGCTCAAATCCTCATAAAAACAGTAAATGTTCTTGTGCTAAAATGTTACATTTGTTCAATATAACAGTTCTATCATTCTAACACATTTCTTTGACTATTTATGTTTCAAATGTACAAGTGGCGGCAACTACCTCCACTGCCAGACCAGGAAATGGCAGTTCAAGTGCTTCCCAAGCAAATGAAACAACATCCTCTAATCCACCAAGTAAATGTTCTTGTGCTAAAAAGTTACCTTTGTCCAATATAACAGTTCTAACATTCTAAAACATTTATTTGACTATTTATGTTTCAAATGTACAAGTGGCAGCAACTACCTCCATTGCCAGACCAGGAAATGGCAGTTCAAGTGCTTCCCAAGCAAACGAAACAACATCCTCTAATCCACCAATTGGTAATTATTGAACTGAATCAATAAAGTTGAAAATAGTTTATGAAAAGTGCTAACATTTTTCTTTTCATGGGTTTATGAAAAGTGGAGAGTCAGCCTAGTGTAAAGAAGAAAGGAATAGGACCTACACGAGATGTTGGATTGCACAAGTTGAATGAAAGAGTTGGTGCCAAGATGACTATCCATGTGGATCCATTTTATGGAATGCCTTTGACAGTAAATGAAAGCAGCAAATATTCAAGTGAAATTGGACAAATTGCCAATGAATATGTCTGGCCTATTTCCAAGGTGGATTTGAAAGAGACAATTCTTCCTGAAGTATTAGCCAAATTATCAGTAAGTAACTTCAACCATCTTATTTTCTGAATTCATTTGTATGAGAACTGGGTATGAGAGTTTAGGAGAGAGTGGTAGCAGTAGTAAGATACATGGAAGCCATAATATTGGACCTCTAATATTGGCTATGTATCTTAATGTAGGTAAACTTGAACATCACCAACATGAGTGAGGTTGAGGGTCATATTTGGGCGAAGTTCCAAAGCTTGGTTAGAACCAAAAGAGGTAGGCTACACGACGATTACAAAGCATGTGGCAGTGGGGCTAAGGCAAGAGAAAGTATACCAAAAAATGTTGATGAGGATGCTTGGAAACATCTATGTGATTATTGGGATTACATACTTGTCCAGGTATACTTTTTTATATATTTTCTAGTAACTGGTTTTTTGGTTTTGACAAACTTAGATTTACTAAGTTGTTTATTGTAGGCTAAGTGTAAGCAAAATGCATTGAACCGAAGCAAGTTAAAGCATCCACACAACCAAGGACCCAATGCATTTGTGCCCTCGCTTCATGAAATGGTAGTTTCCTAAGGTTTTAACATGTGATGATTGTTTATAATGAATTATATTATCTATGAACAGATAATGTTGTTTGACACATGTAGAAAGCACGTGAAAAGCTTAAAGGCAATGATGACTTCACTAAGATGGATTTCTATGAGCGGAGAAGAAGTAAGGATGGAAAATGGATCAATAACAATGTGAAAAAAGCACATGTAAGTTAGTTTTTTAATTATATTTTAGTTCTTATAATAATGGATGACTTATGGCCATCTGTAGGTGAGTTTTCCTTATATATTATTATACGTTTGGAGCTTTTAGTATATGGAGAGTATATATGTAAAGTCTATACCTCACGATATATGGAAACTAAACATTTGAACTTTATCTTCTGTAATTTGGTGAAGTGCTTACTTTAAAAGCTAATAAGAAGGGACATGGTTATGATATGAGGAGATTAAGAATATTAATATTATTATATAACAACAATCATATTTTCAGGAGAAGATGCGAGCAAAGGTGGATGAAAGCAAAGACACCAACCATCCTATGAATGGAAATGATGCATTTAATGATGTCCTAGGAACCAAATCAAGTGATTGTGCAAGTCTCGGACATGGTCCACCTCCTCCAGCTAAAAAGGTCACATACAAGGAATTAAATGAGCGATACAGGAGGCTAGAAGAGCAAAACAACTTGTTGTTGCACGAGCGCGACGATTACAAGGAACAATTGACTTCTACCAACAATAAGATGAAGGAACTCGAGGACAATCACAATGAACAAATGGCTTCTTCAATGGATAGGGTGAAAGAACTAGAGAAGAAGGGTGCATTCTTTGACAACATAGCCTGCCAATTGCTGAAACAAGGAACGGTCACCTTGGACAATGGTAAGATACGCGAAATTATCCATTTCAATAGTATATATATTATGATTGAGCTTAGAACATGTCTAGAGATAGGGATAATTTCTCTAAGATTGAGCTAGTACACTTGTCATTTTTCAAGAATGAAGGGAAAATGAACTTTATTTCCACCTGCTACAATTCATTAGATTAATGAAGCAATGATTGGTATGCATGAATTTGCAGCATGCACTCTACTTTGGAGAACACATCAGCAACTCCTTATCTATTACTTGCCTCTCTTTCGCACATAATAAATAGATAGAAAAGAGGTGCATCTGTGGAAAGTAACAACTAAGGGCTAATAAAAAGATGTGAGCTCATAGAGAACATGAGGTTGTTGGTAGATAATAGTTGGCAGGTGGATTGTCATTAGTATAAGTTTCGATGGTATTCTCTTTATTTTTTGAGATTAAAGAAGTTGATTCACATTTATAAAAAAGATAAGACATGTTAGGTTTTTCTATCTTATGAGATTTGTAGCCTTAGCTGCACTTTGTGTTTATGACATGATATCTTTATATATGTGCTTACAATGTGCTAGTTTTATATTGCATATCCAAGGTGAGGTAGATAGCCTACTGATTTTGAGCAATGAGAGTGCTTTAGGGAGGAGTCAATGGCCATGCTTTGTGTCAGCGTGCTATGTTGAAGATGTGAATCTCTTTGAAACACGTTGTCTTATTTTTGTGACCATATTTTGTATGTGTCAATTCCTAAAGCTAACTCTCTATTAATTATATGTTAGAGAGATGGAGCATGTGTTTTCTTCGGTTGAAATGCTTCATGCTCTTGGATGTATAGGCACATGATATTATGTAAACTTACATTTTTAGTTGAGCTATATGAATGACAGGTGGATTTTAACAAGAAAATTATGTCATCTGAAATTTAGTTCGTCACAAAAAATCTAACATCCGTCACCAATTAGGAAGACTGTAGAACAATAAATTTCTTTTGTGACGGATTTCTTTGTTACCTAAGGGTTTTGATCGTCACCAATGGGCAACCATCTGTCAGCTAATGGGGCCATAACTCTACTTTAGGTGACGAGAAAGTTACATTCGTCACCAAATGTTATACAATCTGTGACAGTTTACATCGTCACTAAAAGAAAATCTTCTGTAAGGAATCCGAAAACCGTCACCAAAAGTCCATTTTTTTTATGACAAATGAATATCGTGACAAAAAGTAGAAGTTTATGTGACGAATTTTTTTGTCACTTAAAGCTCTGTCTTGGGTGACGAAGCTAAAATATTTCGTCACTGTAGCCTTTTGCAAAGGCGTATACGTGGCGACCCTTGTGACGAATTTTTTTTGTGACGCGAACTGTCATATTTGGTGACGAAATTTTTTGTTACAAAATACTGTTTTTCTTGTAGTGTACACAAGGAAGCTTTAAGGTAACTATCAAGTTTGGCTCCTGGCTTCTTTGCTCTTTTCTTCCCCAGATCCGTTTCGTTTATGATTGTTATGATGGTGGTTTAGCTGTGAAAAGCCTTATTGTCTCCACCATATAGCGCTGAGCAAAGAGAAGAATCAAAATCTTCCTTGTGCATCCACCAATTAGGTCAATGTTATTTTGTCCTTGGGATGTAGTAGGTACTTTTCTTTTTCCTCTTTACCACCTAGCTTTAATTCCATGTTCTGTTGGATGTTTTATGAAGCTTTCATGATTTGTTGTTTGGTTCACTAGATCGATTGATCTTAATCCATGGTGTCTTCCTTCAATAGTTAACTAATCGCATAAATAACTTGATGGTTGGCCTAATTGCTTGTGCTTTTGTCTTCTTTTGGTATGTTTACACTCTTAAGCTGATATTTTTCTAATGTTTGATTGGTGATGGTGCTGGTGCACAACTTGGCCTAACTAATTATGTAAACTCTGTTAGAGTCAAACTTAGGGGTCGTTTGGAGAATGAGAGTCTAAATCTAGAGATTTTAATAAATCTAGAGATTTTAATTCTTGAGATTGTTTGAATATGATTCTCAAAAGTTTAGTGTTTGGTAATTGTGATGAATGGAAGTACAGATTTTAAATTTTGATAAAAAGACACATATATCCTTCACTAATATGTCTGCAAAACCAGTATAACCTAATTGTTAAATTAGTCGGCGATAGCCAACTGAAAGAATTACTGTAAGCACATCCAAGTCCAATTGACAGAAAATGTGCGGCTGAACAACTCTCAATTGCTTTCAATGGACGGCCATAGAGTTGGATTAGGCAAAGAAGGAGAGTCATAGTAGAGCTCCCAGATGACGAACGAGGTCGGCCGTTTATGGAGGATAGCAGACTGGCACCCAAGGACTGGTTGATGCAAGTTCTTTTCCATTACACATTGCTGGGAAGAGAAGAAATTTGAAGAGCTATTGTATTCTTGCTGAGTAGAAATTGATGAGAGGAAAATGAGGAAGACGTGGGATGATTAATAAGGGGAGGGGAAGGGATAACGGTGGAATAATTTTTTTGGCAAGTTAAGATTTTAAATCTCTGCTTTTTAGAGAGATTGGTATCCCTACTTTTTGGAGATTTTAAATCTCAAAACTTAGAATCTCATATGTTAATTGTAACAAAAAAAACAAGACTTTTATTTAAATCTCTTGATTTAATAAATCCATATCCTAAATCTTGTTTTCCAAACGACCCCTTAGAGGTTCCAGGATTCATCCAGCCAAATATTAAGGCCTGAACTACAACACATGATGAAGCTGTAAGTCTATCCGAAAAAGTCCTGAACACCTGATTTCGGTTTTGGTGTTATTGCAGGTTGAGAATGGTGAAGCATGGACAATCCTCTCATCCAAATTATTCACATTCAAGTACCTTAAGCTCAAATAATAAAATAGTACATTGAAGCTCTCCTCGGTTATCAATTATTCAACTATCTGGATCAAAGACTTCTGATATATCTTTGTTCATTTTCTTTTTATGGTTATGCCAAAGGGATAGATGGGTCGTGGAGGATGGGAAGGCAATAGTAGTATCGTTGCTGAATTTTGTAAGTACTTGCTCACCTCTATTGTTTGTACTATACTACTTACCCACCAGACTTTTGTTTATAAATTAATCTATAACCTTGGAGGTGGGATTTCATATCCGATAAGAAGTTTGCTGAGTAGTTGAATGATATATAAATTAGTTAGTTTAGATAGATAATGCAAATACAGAAGCCTTATATAGATTCTACTGTCTGCATTATTGTGTTACAGATATGTAAAAACATCCCATGACTTTGTAAGAAAGTCCTATGAGAATATATAGAAACTTGGTTCTTGGTGACTTTGTGACTTGTTATTGTTTTTTATTGATGATTTTTCATGCAGGTTATCAGGGGAGGGTTGAATATTTTGGGAATGGACATGATGATGACAATTCAAGACCATTTTGAGTATGAGTATCAATTGATGATTTTATATATTATTAGTCTATAGTGATATGTATAGAGGTAGGTGCTTATCTCATTTCGAATATCATAGTTGGTAAATGAGCTTAATTAGGAGTCCCTGTACAGTTTCCATGAATAGAGCGAACAATTTGTATGAGATTATATATTTTAGAGTGCTTATCAAAAGGGCTTTGTTATATTTTCCATTTGCACCATTTATTTATTTTTTAATAATTTATCAACAAGGAGGACAAGATTTAGAAGCAAAAGACAGTAAAATCAACAGTTTTGGCGATGACATATACTTTCGTCGCCAAAAGTATCAGGGACGAAATTTTAAGTGCTAAGGATAGAATTTGCGACGAACTGGTTGGTCGCTGAAGAATGTTTTGCGACGGACTATAACGTCGCGTGAGGAAGTGTTTTTTGCGACGATATTTTTGTCGCGAATGGTTTGTACCGCGACGACATATTTCGTCGCCAAAACACAGACTTTCCGCGACGAACAGCATATTCTGCGACGGATGCATAAATTTCGTCGCAGAAAGCTTTGGCGACGCGGTATAAGAGATGGTCTGGTAACTCCTTTCGCGACGCAATATTTCGTCGCAGATAGATACAACGACGGATTTCAATACTTTTAGCGACGAATTTCCCGTCGCTAAAAGGAGGATTTCTTGTAGTGACCCTACTTCTTCATCTTGTCTTTTGTTTGAATCTTCTTACATATGATCATTTGGTTTAAGAAATGGTATCATGAGGATTTAAACAGTTGGCCTCACTATTAAACTGGCTCTGATATCATGTTATAAACCAACTATTCTCAATGATTTAAGTTATTGGGATTTGTGTATCGGTGGATTCTAATCACTTTCTTACCGAGTTTACATTTGCTCCCGAAGATTATTGTACTCCATGCTAACTAAAGGCATGTTCTGTTCTTACCCAAAACAAAAAGGGTTTTGATAGTGTTGGGTTGTACAGTAGCTAGGTGCATATGGATTTTTTTTATAAATCGGTTGCTTTCATTTCATCAAAAAGGGGTTGCTGACAACAACCTTGTCTGCTAGGCACGAGACCAAATAACAATGTGTTGTTTAAAGAACTAAGGTACCAAAAGAACACCTATACCAAATCGAAACCTCGGGTAAAAGACCAGGTACTTACAAATTTTCAACAAACCATAACTGATCTAGATCCCTAGGATCCTGCACCAAAACCATAAACCTCACTCTTCTCCTGAGAAACTAGATCTTGCTACATTCTTGCAATTCTCGCCAAAAGCTCTCCTACATCGCTCCCTCCAAGTATGACTCAACAAAGAATGCTAGATCAACCTACTTGTCAAAGCACAAGAAGTTTTCTTCCCAAACTGCAGAATAGCCCAAGAGAGATTTTCCTCCCAAGTTTGTGGATGTAAAAAACTAAAGTTGCCAAATACCCGTTCATGGACAGAGATGTAATATGAACAGACAGAGAATAAGTGATCTCTAGTCTCACGAGGCTGATCACACTGAAGACAATTATCCGATCCAGCAAAACCCTACTTCTTCATCTTGTCTTTTGTTTGAATC